GTTTAAAATTGGATGTTTGGAGTTTGAAATCCAATGAGCCCCATGAACATGATACCACACGTAATGGTGAAGTGCGTCTTTGCTCTAGGTTTAAAATGGGATGTTTGGAGTTTGAAATCCAATGAGCCCCATGAACATGATACCACACGTAATGGTGAAGTGCGTCTTTGCTCACATCATTTACAAGTACATCAGTTAAGTAAGACTTTTGAATTAATGTGTGAATAAGGTAATCGTCTTTTCTAAAAACAGTATGTTCACACACACACATAGACATAAGATATGCTTATATATATATCCTAATGTGAAGCAGTTTGAGAAATTTTAAATTAGTGTATGAATGAAAAACGTAGTTTATATTATTTTTGAAAAGGTACATACAATGTGTATATATATGTATATATATATATATATTAGTGCGATGTGGTTTCAGAAGGTTAAATTTATATATGAGCAATATAAACGTAGTCATTCTTATATCAAAACGATATGTATATGTATATCTTAGTGTTAGGAGAAGGTTACATTTGTAAGTGAACGATTTTAAACATATTCATTCTTACATCAAAACGACACACATATATATCTTAGTGTAGTGTTATAAAAAGCTTGAATTTATATCGAATGATTTCAAGGTACTCATTCTTATATTAAAACGATATATCTTAGTGTGAAGTGTAATGAGAAGGTTACATTTGTACATGAATGATTTTGAACGTAGTCATTCTTATATAAAATGATATGAATATATATATCTTAGTGTAATGAGAAGGTTACATTTGTACGTCAATGATTTTGAACGTAGTCAGTGTTTGATTTACCCTCTACATTCCTCAGAAAACAGGTCTCTTGTTACTTTATCATGTATGTTATTTATATATTATAGGATTTTAGATCTTCGATAATTGAACATCCGAACTGACTCAGCTATCAATTGTATAAGTTATTTGGCTGTCTTCGCTATTTTCAGTCCAATCAAGTCGACTACATTTGGATGGACTGATAGTTTTCTTCCTCCCTGACATATAGGACCTTATTAAGCATATGTTTGAAAATGAAAGGTTTAAAACGAGACACAGATAGTAGATACACAGATATACTAAATTAAGGCTTTTTGACATTGTTCAAAATAAGTATTAAACATTTTTTTCCTCTTTGGTTGTGTTAGCTAGTCTTACTGAGAGAAGATTATAAACCTGAACATTAGTTTGCTAGAAACGTAAAGAAATTTTATTTCCATGAGATAATAACTCAAAGAGCCGTTTAGATAACTATATAGGGAGTAGATGTATAATGGCAAAGCCACAGTATTTTAGCATATTATTTAAAGTAAAAATAAGCAAAACTTTTTTCTTTATTTTTAGAAACTGAAAACTTCATAGTTATTGTTGTCTCATCAAATGAATCTTAAAACGAAGCATAAAAAGATAGACACACTCATTAAAGTAAGTAAACACATCAAAAGCTAAAATTAGGAAATTATACGGACAATCCGACAAGTTGCACATTGTTAACTGACACAAAGAATCGTTTTTAGAATTGTTAATCGCATAGCGTTTATTTATTTTAAATGTTTGTCTCAGCGGTAAAAATTGAGTTTCGATATCCGTAGTGGGCAGAGCACATTGTATAGGGTTCTGATTAACAACAAACAATTAAATGTTTATTGGAATCACCAGAAAGCAATGAAGTTGTAAGTATGTTAAATCTCTTTAATAAATATCCGTTGTTTGTCTGTGAATTTACCCTCTTGGGCTACTCTTTTACCAACGAATAGTGAGATTGACCGTCACATTATAACGTCCTTATGGCTGAAAGGGGCAACTATGTTTGGTGTAACGGGGATTCGAACCCGCGACCCTCAGATTGCGAGTCGAGTGCCCTACCTACCTGGCCATGCCGGGCTCAGTTATTGTTAATTGGTGTAATGTTTCAGTATTTGAATATTCATTGGAATCCTCACAAAGAGACGACTAAAGATATATCCAGCAATTTACTTCATTAAAAGTTATTATTATTATTATTGCAATTACGTCAAACGTTTCGAATTCTAACCGAACTAGAATAAACAAGGATCTCAACGAGTCATTCATTAGCTATTATAGAGCTTTCACTTTTGTAACACGAAGATAATTTGAAAGCATTAAACTTTTGTTGATATAACTCTCTTCTAGCCTCGTGAGATTTCCACATATTTCATACGTTGTGTACAGAAATAGCGAGCTTATTATTGTAAGAAACACTATACTAAAATGCTAATTCCCATTAATTAAAATTGGAAAGAAACACTCTCATTACGTTTTATAATTTTTTTCAGTTTAGCATACAGTTGTTTTCCTTATTTTCCCGTCAAAAAAAAATCAATTTACTTAACCGATCTATCTTTTTTTCCACAAGATTTAAAATGGAGGGAATCTTCTGAGAGGTCGCTCTTCAAATTCGCCTGTTTGATATTCATGGATCGTTTCAAAATACTAAAAAACGAGAATTTTTTTCCAGAGCAACTACAAGATTTATATTAGCTTTTGTTTAGTAGGAACTGTCGTGTAGGTTGTTATAAGTACTTTAACTGACACATGCTTCCTTTAAAATACATGAACAATATAGGTGAATATTTGTTTAGTAGGAACTATCGTGTACGTTGTTATAAGTACTTTAACTGACACATGCTTCCTTTAAAATACATGAACAATATAGGTGAATATTTGTTCAGTAGGAACTATCGTGTAAGTTGTTATAAGTACTTTAACTGACACATGCTTCCTTTAAAATACATGAACAATATAGGTGAATATTTTTCTTTATTGTTATTTTTACAAGCGGAAAGCTACACATTGGGTTGTCTTCGCTGCGTTCATCGCTGGTATCGAACCCTGATTTCGTTGCATTATAAGCCCTTAAATTTACTCTATAACCAGTGGAAGGGGAGGGCGGACGCATATAAGACAGATTGTCTATAGAACTAAATAACTGTGAAAGAGATTTAAAAAAGAATGTGAGATTAAATTTTGATAGTCATTATAAAAATATACAAAAACATTTAAAAAAAATAGAGAAAAAAGAGCTGGTTGTTGAGTTAGTATTTATTTTGTATCTAATTCGCAAATTATCTCTACATTTTTCGGATAAAACTGATGAAGAAGGTTAAGTAAATAACCGTTATCTGAGAGTCGAACCTCGGATAGACGATCGCGTTATTTGTGTGCGAGTGTGTGTGTTTTTGTGTTTGTATGAAGAAATAAAGCAGATATGCTAGAGAATAGATAATTTAGCATAAGAAGTAGCTTTTCTGAGATATACACAGCGTGATCACAAGTAAATAGACACCACCTTTTCAGAAAAAAATGAAATTTTTCAGTAATATTCGCATGAATTGATATATTTATAATTTGATTAATATCTAGTAGATCTTCCTTTCGCTTCGTGGAGTTCGTTGATCCTTTGGGGCATCGTGAGAATCATCTCGTCAATTTTAGATTGTTGGATTTTCGCTCACTCTTGCTTCAAAACTTGGAGTAGATCGCTCTTCGAAGTTGGTTTTTTGGTTGTTTCTTGACTTGCCGGTCGAGTATGGCCGAGAGGTTTTCGATGGGGTTCATGTCAGGAGACTGGCCGGGGAAACTTCTGGATACCATTTTCTTCCTGCCACTTTTGGGTGTTTCT